AGCCCAGGAGCACGCTGCCTCTCCGCAGCTCATGCACGGTGTGGGAATCGGGGTGCCTGGATCCTGTTTCCGTCCTAGCAGAGCGTTGTAATTCAGCAGCCAGAGCAGGAAGCTGGCAGACAGGCTCTGGCATTGCCTGCCTTTCCCTGCCCAAGTGCAGGCAGGGGTCACCGCTGCCTGACGCTGATGCGCCTGGATGCAAACCCCACCACATCATGCAGGGACCCTCCTCACAAGCTCCCTCTTGCAAAGTGCCAGACAGACGTTTCTCCTGCGCGCGAGGTGGAGCAGCGCTGCCCCACAGGCTCCATTGCCCAGTGCTGAGACATGGCTGCCGCTGGAAGAGCCCAGTCCCCGGTTCACAGGAACACACGCAAACCTTTTTGCAGGGCAGACTGCAGACAACAGCGGCCAGGAAGCAGGGCGTGTTCCTTCCCAGAAGGAACGCCGTATATTTTGCAGCCACGAACTCCTCCACGAACCTTCACACCGCTCCTTGGTGCCAACTGCCCAGCCGCTTCCAGAGCACAGGGATGTCTCTGACATGTCATGAACGTTATTACGTGGTTCAGATGCTGTTTTGCACCACCCGAGCCCGGTGAGGCAGGCACCCGACACCACCTTTGGAGGAAAGGGCCCCCAGCCAGCACTTACGATGGTGATTTAGTGCTCAGGGCCATGCATTCCCCTAGGAATACTCAAAAGAGAGTGCACACATCTGCAAGTGGAAATGGAGCGGGATCATACGCACTAACACTTGCAAACAAACCTGGCATCCACTTTGCCTGGCCGCTGCCCTCGCAAAAGGGAGGCGAACGCACTTGCAGCAGAGATTTAGCCCAAGTCACCTATTCAAACCCAGCCAGGCCAGCAGGGAGGCGGGTGGACACCAGCTGGTGACCATCCCATCTGATAAGGCACCGACAAACTTTTCCGGCCACAAAACGGTCATGGGAGAGTCCACAGGAGCAGTTCATGTTGATGATTTCATCTGGAAAGCACACCATTCCTCTGTCATCGAGGAGACAAAGAAACATCCCACGAGGAAGGAAGAGGGGAGAGTTTGGGATCAGGCCCCAAGAGATGGGTCAAGTGACCGCTGTTGGTGCCAGGTGCTGCTGTCCGCTGCTCACCACCCGGGCTTCAATCCGCTCGCTATCCAGCATCGCCTCACCCAGTAACATCCCTCGAACCACAACCAGCAAACCGAAGCAACCCAAATCCTCCTGCCCTCATCCAAAGGTTCGTTTTAAAGCTCATTTGTTAGAAATACCCCGCCAGAGCCATTCTCTGAGCAGGGGTACCCAGCACGCTTGCCCTTGCCGGACTCCTGGCACTGCACTCTCATGTTCGTACAACAGTGGGTTACTCACAAGCTCTCTGAATTCTAGGCATTTCTCTAGGAAATACACGGCTGTCTGTCTGTCCCAGTCCTGCCTGCAGGTCCGGGCACGAGTGGCCGCATTCCCCTCATTCCAGCCCGGCAGCGCTGGGGCTGCACGCTCCTGGCTGGTGCAAGAGCAGTAGCGCAGGAACTCGCCTGATGGCTGGGCTTGCAAATCCTAAAGGTATGCCAAGAAAACCATTTTGTATCACAAAAAGGCTTATTCATTACCTGCTAGTATTCAAAATAGCTCTAGGGCAGGGACAGGTTAAACAGACTAGAAGGAATAGGGAAATCTCACTCTGGCCCTATCCTGCAAGGTACAAAGTACTACCGAAGCCAGAAGAAGCACACAGTGATCAGCATCCACCGATTTGGATCTTTATTAATTTACAATTCCCATCCCTGTCCCAAATGCCTGCCTTTGGGTCCTCTCCAGACCTGCATTGTACATGAGGGACATGCTGGAAAAGGGGGTTCAGCTCCGTACCCCGTCGCCAGTCAGCCCAAACAACGCAGCATACCAAGGCAGGGATTTCAAATAAGCTTTGCTGATCTAGGAAAATTAAGGGCTCAATTTAGACACAGATCGTTGTGAGTGTGATCCCACAGCTATCAGGGACTGCATCCACTATTCAAAGCATTCCGACTTTACCTGATTTGCGTATGCAGGCACACACACCGAAGCACCCAACCACTAAAACCTCCAACTGCAAATACAAAACTGACTCAGACAACAAAGAGTCTTTAAGATAATTCATCCTGGGTTTAGCACACTTGGGAAATACAAGTAACGCATCAGAAAACCTGGGGCTGGGTTTTCAGTCTGCTAGGAGGCGCGTGATATGTGCTGGGTCAATCCCTCCACCTTTTACCCTGCATCAGAGGTTTCTCACCAGCCACAAAGCTCTGGTTTCCTTTCTGGACCCGCCTGGCAAAAGCTGATGCTGCCACGACCCATCTGGTCCCGGGTCCCGAGCATCGCTGCCGTGTCTCCTTGGCTCCTTCCTGCACATCCCTGGTCGGGTCCCTGGGGTTAGGGTGCAGCCTTACCAGGCTCACGGTGGCATCCCGTAGGATCAGCCTTGTCTTCCCAGGTGAACCTTGTTACTGCTCCCCTGGCAAACACGTCCTCTTTGCACGGGACGCAGACCAGCAGGACCAGGGGAATCCTCCTCAATGTTATTCACACTTGCTAACCCCAATACTTCCCCCCTCCCTGCTCATCCCAGCCACTATTTGTTATTTTAGTGCCTTTTGGGGGCTTTGGTAATTGCCATGAGTCATAATACCAGAATTTACTTATCAAGAAGAATCATGGATCAGACACTTTGCAATGAATATTGTATAAGCTTGGATGAGAATTAGCATAGACGGGCTCCGTTTGATTTTATGCATTAGAAAATGGATTCGGTTCCCATGGGGCTAGCATTTTATGGAAACACAGGGGCCAAATGATTTGCTACCGAACCTGGCAATGCATCTACTTATTTGTATATTAAACCCCATATCCGACATGGAAATCTCATCTGCATTAAGTCTGTTGGGTGAGTAATCAAAATTGACATAAAACAAACACTCACAATACACCAACCGCAGGATGGGTGGGGGGGGTTTATTGCTGGTTTTTCACCTTTTCAGAAGAAAACTCCAGAAACCTGGTACAAGAAACCTCCCGTAACAGTGACTTCCAGGCTGCTCCTGTGAGAATGACTTGTGGGTGTCTGAGCTAAAGCATGGGGCAGGGGGGGAACAACAGTCTTTGGAAGTTCCCCCAAGGGATTGCAAATCCCAAATTGCCACCACAGAGTCCACAGGGAATATTCGGAAACCCAAAAGCTCTCATAAGATACACGACAACAAGGGGCAGTTCCCACCTGAGCATAGCATTTATCTCTGCTCCCCATCACATCGGAAGGAGAGGTAATGTCAGGGGGTTTCACCTAAGGCAGGACGGGGAGCAGCACGCACAACGGAGAATTATTTCTGCGCAGCCACGACACAAGACATGACTCTCTCAAGATAGTGCTGCACCCAGAAGCAATTTAATATAGGTGGGTATGGTACAGCCCACTGACTGCACACGGGTTATGAATAGAGGCATTCAAGTAAACCCAAATAAAGGCCAATAACTCAACTTACGTTTTACACTGAGTTTTTGAATGCTGTAGGGGCCAATACAGGACTAAAACAACAAGAGATTTGACTCTCTTGCTACTTTCCACCACTCAGGAACTTAAAGCAGTTGGAGAAGACAAGCTGCTTCTGTTGTTTCAGCTCCTGGCCTTACAAAAACCAGCGGAAAAACCACCCCACACGCATGGTGCGCTCACAACCCGAGGCACCACCAGGATCACAACCTGGACACTGAACGGGCTACACGCTCTCGCCGGCGCACAGGTGCAGCTCCGAAGGGAGCACCCAAAGATGCAGTCACAGAGGGCTTCAAAGATGCTTGGCAGCACGCATTTGGGAAAGGCAGATCGGATTACACAGATCCATTTTTTCATTTAGGTGGAAGAACCACCGGTGGCGATGAGCTGAGCCCACGACATCTGTTTGCAGAAAGCTTTCTCTACGGCCGGCACAGCAGCCTGCTGTGACAGCCTGACTGTAAGCAGGCAGACGCCTGCTGCATTCATGCGAAGCAGCTCCGAAATCCACTTCCAGCCCTCTCCCTCATCTCCTGGTGCTCCGGCATCCACCCCGGACTGTGGTGCGGTAACAAGAGCCCAGCCCAGCCTTGCAAAGCCTGTGCAGCACTTGGGTGGGAAGAGAGGTGGGATGGCAATGATTCCCATGCAGGATACAAATGAGCCTGTCTCCACATTTCAATGCCACTTTGTGGGATCGCAGTTCATCCTTGTGGAGAGGTTCCCACTTTACAGGAAAACCATGACAGATAAGCAGAAGGGTTTGCACTCAAATCCCAGGGTGAGTGGTCCCTGGGAGAGCAGCTGAGGTGCAGGGGTAATATGGGAGCTTCCCTGGCAAAGGAAGGGGTCAGGGCACAGGGGAATGGCAAATATTTACATTTTCAGGTCAGCACACAATGAAAAGAGACATTTAAGGAGCCAGTGGCTGGAGTTAGAGGGAAAGCTGTTGTCACTGTTTCCCTGGCTACAGCATGCCTGGTGCTCAAGTATCCACGTCTGGACACCTTATTTACAGAAAGTCCCAGTGAAACTGGCAGTCGTCCTGCAGCGCTCAGCCGAAACCAGCACTGGAGAGGGTTGTGAGCGGGCTGGGAAAAGATGGATGAATTTGGAAAGCTCTTGCCTCAGGGGAAGGTAATTAAGCAGCAAACTGATGGCTATTTAAAGCAGGCGAATGGTTATCCTTGGTTTAAGCTCAGGCCACAGAGTTGAGTGACGACGGCACCTGAGCTCACCCCAGAAGGGGTGTTTGGAGAGGACCCCAAGGAGGGATTATTTGTCCTGCCACTCTCCCCAGGCCCTTGGCCACCTTTGGCAGCACTCCTCCTCCCCTGCAAATTGCGTTAACCCTCTGCCCACCTGTGCCCACCTTACCGATGCCTCATGGAAATGGATAAGAAACAGGCATGCTGCAGCAAGATCCTTTAACCACAGGGAGAAACTATATGCATGTACAGAAGACCTCCTTGCGAGCTATTCACCTTGCACATCTCTATACTGCAGTTTGTCCCCTGCAGGAACGAGGTGCCAGTCCCCAGGAGGGCTGCTGCGAGCTTTTATCGTCTTCGGGATGCTTTGAAGCCACCCAGACAGACAGAGCCTCTCCTCTGCCCCTCCGAGCAGCCGGGGCTGCTGGAATTCTGGCACTGGCACGTACGGGAAAGGCAAAGCCATGGTTTACATCAAACACACACTCTTCTGTAATTCATGTCGCTAACACAAACCAGATGCCATCTTCCTCAGCCTCTGCAGAGAACGATGGCCTGCCTTTGCGTTACATAAAACAGCAAGAAAATGAAATTTAAACCTTCAAGAAAAAGCAAAATAAATAAATCAGTAATTAGGCAAAGAACATCCAAGCCAAAAACAGCTTCCAAGTTTCCAGGAAGAATTAGGTTGTTTATGGAAGTCCTGTTTCAACTAACAGCCTGCCTGGCAGGTGGTAGGAATGTGAGTTTGTGGAGAGCAGAAACATGAAGCTGCTCTGCCTGGGGCACTGTGCTTTGCTTTGCTGTTTTCTTGTTTTAGTTAAACAAGAGGAGACATTACAAATATTCAACAAAAGGAGCAGAAAGGAGAGCTGTGCATCTTCAGTGCGGCCTTTCCTACCTTGTATGCCATAGAGTCGATTCAGGCGTGACCGTCTGGCCTCGTCGGCGTATGGCACAGCTACCCAGGGCATCTCGCTGAAATACTGCTTGAAGGAGTCCTCTGACCTGTGCGAGGGGAACAGGGCATGGGAGCCAGGGTGCAGATCCTCCACCTGCCCACCTCTTTCCCCTGCTCCTCATTATAGACCTGGCCTGCAAAGCCCTTTATCCCTTCCACCAAAGCCCACCAGTAAGGGCTGCTGGCAGACACAACCCAGGGAGATCCAGACCAATTTTACATCCCCCAGTCCCTCAAGAAGGGGTCCATGGTGCATTTTTCCCCCCAATAAAACATGTCAAACTCTCTAGGGCATCTGAATGTCAACCTATGGCAACAGCAGCAGCTCGAGCATCTTTCAGACCTCAGACCCACAAGCCACAAAGTGAAACACAGAGCCGCTCCACAGGTAGAGCCTGCTCTCAGCCCACCGCTGCTCTTTCTATCCCCCCTTTGCCCATACCAGAGCCAACCTGCTCGACCCCAAATCAAATTTCCTCCTCAAATCAAACCGGCAATGCTCAGAGCTTCCCAGCCTGGGGGCAGCCAGCTCTGCCTGCACAGGGTTTTAGTGCTTTCTTACCTGTCTGCACTAACAAAGAGTATCTCAAACTTCTGGCCCGCTTCCTTGATTTTTCGGTAGGACTCCACCAGGACCCTTGTGAGGCTTCGGCACGGCGGGCACTGCAAAACACAACACATGCACATAAGGACGTCATCTCTTCCACAGGGCCAGACCCACACCCAGCAGGTCCAGATGACCTAGTGACCATGAAAAGACAGATGTGACCTCATCTTTGCTGGAGTGCTGGGCAGCAGCCCTGAACGTGGCTGGGGCTTGTGGCCTAGAATTTGTCAACAAAACCTCTTCCATTTTTAAAATCTGACCACTCTTCCCCTTCTGAAGGGCCAGCTGAGGATGAGAGGCCACTGCAATGCTGCAGTTTCTTCCAGAACAGCCGGAGCATCTTAACTGCTTCAACACCAACCAGCCAGAGGTCTTTACCTCCCCACAGAGCTCTGCAGCAAGAGCTGCAGGGGGATCCCCAGAGCACCCCCTGAGCTTGCTCTAATTGCTCTGCAAAATGCCTACTACTCACCCAGTGCGCAGAGAAATAGACCCCAACGTGCGAGCCCTCCAGGGCGTTGCTGTCTAACGTCTGGCCGTTGTTCCTTAGCAGAGGCCCAGCAACAACTTCACTGAAGGGTTTTGGCCCCCAGGGGAACTCCAGACCTGGGGCAGTCAGGACGGGGGTGGAAAGAAGACACAAAACAGCAAGGTGCACATGCAGCATTTACAGTTTCAAGAAGTTCCACCAAAAAAAAAAAAACATCCCACCTTCTGCAAAAATATGGGGCAGCCAGGGAAGCCAGGCTCTGCACCAGAGCCAGAGCCACCTCTTTCTCATGGGTAGCCTGCACCCTCGCTCGAGTCGCAGCACCTTTGGCTTGACAAAAGCCTGCTCGGGTTTTGTGCCTGATGAGGCATTTTTTCCTTATCAACAGCATTTGTTTTAGCAACAGAGGGCAAGGTGGTACGTGCTCGGGAATGCAGTCAGGCTATTTGCCTTATACTGATACTAACTGTATCTTTTTATAATACATTTATTTCTTTATAAAACTATATATATATATGTAAAAGATAGTTTATATATAGGGTTCTTTATATATGTGTATATATAAACTACACTTAGACTAACCCTCTGCACCCCAAAGCAAGCATGTGTGCGTACACACAAACACATGCTCTGAATCATCTGCTGCCAGCTCCCAGAGCAATCAATCTATGTGTTCAGCCAGAGAGGAGGAAACCTCACAGATGGCTCAGGCCACAATGTGTACTTGCTGCACAGTTCCTGCCACCTGAATTAAAGACTCATTCACCGCACTCAGTATTTACTGCGTGAAGAAACGACAAGCTGGTAATACGTGTGCATGGATGGCCTAGCAGTTGAATGATGGGTCTGCAGAGTCTGGGAGTAAGGGCACATGTTTTGCTCATTTTGGTTTCTGCAAATTGGAAGAAGATGAACTTAACATCAACCCCCAGTACAGTAAACCTCAGAAATGGAGAACGGTAGCATTTTTCTGTTGCATTTATAAATAATGGGGAATTCACTTATCCTAGAGTGTAATATCAGTGATAAAGTCCTACTCAGTATTTCGGAAGGGTTTTGCTCCCAAAGTGTGGCAGGTCTGGGCCCTTGGTCTGTCTGTCCATGTGCCTCCATCAAGAAAAAAATCCAAACTTAATGTTTCAGTTAGTCTAACTTTTTCCTCATTAGCACTTCAGACAAAAATCCTGGAGGGGAAATCTTTGTTCTTTTCAACAAGCAAAACCAAAACACACGATCTGGCAGGAATGATGCAGAAAATTTTATGCTGAAAATAATACAGTGCCTTGATTAGTTAAGTATGACAACAGTTGTTTGTTTCCTTTTTTTTCCCCCCTCCAAGGCAATTAAAAATGAACTGAATTGAAAAGGCAGCCATGTGCCCATGTTTCTATGGCACACGGGACTCCGGGTCTCACCTTCTGGGTCATCTCGGATTACCAGGAGGCCGTTCCTGCAAACCACCTTCCCGGTGGAGGCATCAATAAATATCAGGGAAGGAATGTTGGAGACTCTGTACTTGTTCCACAGCTTCAGCTGTAAAAGAGATTGAGAGGGAAGAGGAGAAAGGTAAACTTGGGAGGGTGAAGAGGAAGATTTTGAGGCGTTAGCATCTTTCAGACCAGAGAGCTTAGAAAGCTAAGCACAGAAACAGAGTTGGTGCTTCAGCAATGCATATGAAGGCGTGTGAGGGCATCTCTCTACAGCTGCTGGGCCAGCCTGGACCTCCAGCACCCACAGAGACAGGATCTGTCACCACCACCCCCTCGGTACCGCAGGCGAGACCAGCATTTGTCTCATGCCTGCTGCGGGCTTGCCCGTGAGCACAACTAAAGCTTCTCCTCCTGCTGCGTTTGCATCTTTGCAAGTAAAACGAAGATAATATTTACCATACTCGAGGTCTTTGTTAAGGAGACATGGTAAGCACAAATACTTTTAATGCCACTCCTCTGAAGCAATTTGTAATACTTCCCTGGCTGCTTCCTCCCCTCCCATTTCAATGTTCATTAAACAAACCAGCATTCCCTGCCAAGACGCAGCTACGCTGAAAACAAGGCCAACACACAGAAACACAATTCTGCAATTGGGGCTTCCCGGGTTTGTTCCCAGGAGCTGATTAACAGGTTTGACATCAGCCTGGGGCCGCATAGCCCAGCTCACCTCTCCAGCGCTGCCAGCCTCGCAGCGGTCCCCGCCGGCTATGGACAGAGGCCATGCAGGCTGCGATGGGCATGTTTTGGGCATCCTGGTCTAGATGTTGCTGTCTACTGGTCATTACATTTTGCAACGAGCTCAGCTCCGCACAACACCGGTGACTGAGTGCTCTGGATGTCACATGGTCCTGGGTTGATATTTCTCAGCATAAGCTTCTGGCACAGGATAATTTGGAGCTTAACCCACGTACAGAAGCTCACTGGGGTTGGGAAGAATGAGACGACGACAGCTGCCGGCACGGTCGCAGCCAGCCTCCACCTGCAGGCTGGAGGAGCCAGTCTCCCTGCCCTGCACCAAGGAGCTGCTGCAATCACAGCATTTACTTACATTTTACATTTCTCCAAGCATTTCAACCTAAACAGCCCAGCAGTGAATTGTCAAACTCTTACACAAAAACCAAATTACAGCCGAGAGCCAGAGGGGAAGGAAATGAATCACCACCTCTCCCCTAACGCCAGGCGTTGCTCTGCTGAGCCCCTCGGGCTCCGGGTGTTTACAACTCGCTTGGCTTTGGAGAATAAAACCCAGCCACGGAGAAGGGCAGGAGGGGACTGAGAATCCCACCCAGTGCCAGCGAGAGGGTTCGAGCACAAGACCTGGAGGAACCCTCACACAATGAGCTGCTGCTCCCATCAGTATCTCACATGGAAACCGGACCCACGTGCTTTCCCAGAGAAAGAGGCCACAACTCTGCGGATCACCATCCCCAATTTCCGAGCAGAGGCAATCCCATTTCCCAAGACTGGAATGATCTAGGGAACCAGGCAAACAAGGGCAGGAAAGGGACGCAACGTGCAGGCAGAGCAAACCGGATCCCTCTGCTTGCTCACCAGAGATCTAGCTGAGGGAGAAAGTCACATCCACATTCAGGTTTTAATGGCATGCATTAATATTTCTTCCAACGCCTTTTTACAAAAGATGTACATGAATGAGTGACAGCAGCCAGCCTGCTTGCAACAGGGTGTTAGCAAAACCCTCTTGGGTCTGAAGGAAAGTGTTAATACTGATCTAGAAAGACTTTGTTAACCTCCATCTACTCGGACCCAGAGAAAGGCAATACTTTGTGTCCTGCCCACCAGCCTTCGATTTCCAGTAGACATATTTCTTGGGACAAGCTGACTGATTCACAATGCTGATTCACAAACCAAATGGCCTTGGGCACGAAAAAAGAAAAAAGAAATCATGCTAAATGCAAACCAGCCCCCTCACAACCAGCACATTCAAACCACAGAAGGTAAAATCCACTTCTGTGAAGTTTAAAGTGTGGGGAAAAGCTCTTTATAAGGATCACAGGCATTTAAGAGGGTGTTGCAAACAACGAGGAAATTACAACTAGCAATTGGATCGTTCCCTTTAAATAGCTGCTTACATTTCACTTCATTTTCCAGGTCCTTTGTACATGGGCAGCACTCCCCTTGGGGCACTACGGCGGGTCGTGGCAGTTTTGCTTGGCTGGGGAAGTGCAGGGTCTGCACTTCAGAGCCAAGAGGCTGCACCGACTCGCTGTGCTCAGGGGGACGGGGCTGGGACACCCCAGATAAGGGGATAAGACCAAACCAAAAGCCGCTCTTGCTGGAAGCACTGGAGCGAGCGGTGCACGGCTGGCTCCAGGCAGTCTACAGGGTCCAGCAGACACGGCAGCTCTCGCCAACAACTGGCCCTGCGTCTTGTCAGGATAAGCCATCAGGCCCCACTGGGAACAAACTGCAGAGACTGGTCTTGGCTGCCCAGACACCCATGGTACGGGTAATCTGCAATTCAGATACTCTGTCCCCGTGAAATGGAGGGTTGCCACTTCTAACTCATCATTTAGGGTCCTCAGGAGAATGCCTCAAGCAAGCTTGAAGCTAGGCGTGTGTCAAAAGGGTCAAAAAGCATCAAAAAAGGTCAACGGAACATCTGCTGCTGCATCCATCACCAGGCTCTAAGACTGGAACCCACCGACCGTCACGTCACACTCAGTCACACCTTGAGCGAACGAGAAAAAGCAAAATTGCAATGTTTTATTTCACATCTGTGCAAAAGCTGCAGCTCCCAGACACCACAACCCACCATCCCAGGTCACGCCAAACATTTCAGAGCTTCACAGATGCTGAGCAGCACTTACTATTTGCAATATATTTGCTGCCTGGATTATCACTGAAACCCATCATACGACACCAATGAACAAACACGACAATTGCTCCTCCTCGGTCCTGCTCAGCATACGCCTGCTGGTTGTGGTCCACGCAGGAAGGGGAGCCCAGGAGAAAAAAAAGGTGTCCCTTGTACAAGTACCTGCACAACCGCACACCTCGCGAAGGATCCTGTGTCGGGCTGGGCGTGGGATGCAGAAAGCAAATTACGACTTGCTCTGAAACCACAGGATGATAGCTCAGGCAGCAGGGCAGAGTGCTGCCTCAGCAACTTTTAAAAGCTGTTTTTCCTGCCGTGAAGAGGATGACATAGAAATAACATACTCCACACTCTGAGGATTTGATCATCCATTTAAAGACGGGATCTCTGCTCCACTTCCCAACAGCTGTTGCAAATCTGTGGGATCAAGCCAAAGCTAACACAGATGTGGAAATAATCTACGGACTATTCAGCCCAAAAGCAGCTGATCCTCTTGGAGCACCCTTCGCTCCTGATTCAGGCTGCATGCCTGGTAAACTCAATACTCACCCCAGGATGCCCGTTGGAGAAGGAGTGAGGAAATACATCCCCTTGCAAGATGCTGTACAGGCTGATCAGCTTTACAGAAACCTCCTTGGCTCCTGTGCAGGTGGTTAAGTACAGCAGTCCAGTGGAAAAAACACAGTCACCAGATTCCTCCGGTAACCTTATCCCTACACAAAGCATCACCACGAAGTCCTGGAGGACCTGGAAACCGCAGCCCTGGGCTCCTTCTGCGTCTCCATCCATGACCGGCTGTGAGAGACTTTAAAACGATCGCTTATTATTTGAGGTCTGAGGCCATCCCAAGACATCAGGCCATGCAGCAGCACTCAGCATCGGTCACAAAGCTGCTCTCCGCGCTGGCGGTTGGCTTGGTTGTTTCCCCCACCATGGTGACTGGGAAATGCCTGGCTGAGATGCACGTTGGAGAAGTTTGCAGACGGCCACGGTAATTTTTCCAGATAAAGGTGTCAGACGAGAGGTCTCCCCAGCAGCCCACAGCTGTTTCTGCGCAGGGCTGGCACCCAGCCGGGGCGGATGAAATCCCCTCCTGCTCTGTGCGTACTGGTGGGGAAAGGATCCCCAGCTCCCAACAGCTGCCAGGCGCTATTTTTGGTTGCGCTGATTGATTTATCAGCCCTGGTCGCGTTCGCTTACTAACACAAATCCCGAGCTGCAGCGGTTAACACTGGCAAGGATAAAGCACAACTGCTTGCAGTGAAATGAGCCCTGGCCGGTGGGAAAGCCATCCTCCCGCCCTTGTTGGGGACCGTGTTTCTCTGCTGTTGTGTGAACCTGGACCACAAAAGCTCTCACGCCTCCATCTTCCATAGGATGTGGAGCTGCCTCCGACTGGGAGACGCGGAGGTTTGAGGCACCTGCCTGTGCCAGCAGCAGGGCAGACTCTGCCTCTGCTCATCTTGCAACCCGTGCTTCCACCCTGACCAGTGACAGACAGACAAAGCTTAAAGTTTAAAAACTCAAAAGCAGATTCCTTGGCAATGATCAACATGTTCCCAGTGTGGACGGCTGCTGCTTTCTGCTAAATGAAACGCAAAGCCACTTTTCTTCTAAAACTCCACCCTTGGAGGTGACACTCCCAGGGTATGGGCAATTCCTCCGGCGAGGCATTGGGGAAGATGCTGCTTTCCAGCAGCCCCGTGAGTGCCCACGTGAGAGCGCAGCAGGGTTTCCATTACAGAATGAGCTCGGCTCTTGCCGGTCTCTCATTCCAGAGCCACAGACTGAAACATAAAGTCTGATGAACTCAGGAGTAGCACTCGGGTGGAAAAGTGCCCTTGGTGAGGGCTGCGGGGACCAACAGAGCCCATTTCCCAGCTCTGCCGCACAGACCAGCTCCGGGCTGGCGAGACAGCCGTGACCGTCCCCACCGCTCTGCTTCCATGGTCCGGCGCTGCAGGGGACCTTTCTGTCCTTGCTCGATCGCAATGTTACACTGTGGTTTTACATCGTGCCTTAAAGGGTTTACAAGCACCAGGGGCCACCCAGGCTCTGCAGACAGCAGGCACAGGGCTGCAGAACAACAGGCTGCTCCCTCGCCCTGTCGATTTAAATCCAGTTCACGCCTGTCCCTGCAATTCAAGCTCAGCTCAGGCAAAGGCTCCTCTTCCGGCCCTCCCTCGCCGCTCCTTTCCCTTCGTGCA